GAGAAAATTTTTCACAAGGTAATGACAAATGCCATGGAAGGATTTACTTTTAGTATAGGTTAATAGATTTGTGTAAAGGATTTGAATGGGTAAATACTCCATAATTGTTACTTGTTAGATGTTTGCTACGAAGTACTTTAGGTAATTTAGTAATAGGATATTTGTATAAAATAAAAGGGAATAAATTTGACAATGCCTACAATATAATTGTCGTTTCACCATTAATTAAAAGTTTAAAACATACAAACCTCTCTTCTAAAAAGCTTATGTAATTGGGTTTTTTAAAATTAGCCTTATACTGCAGACTCAAACCTCTTTTCAAACATTTCTCAAACAAACACTCCTTTTTAGATATTTAAAATAGTCGAATTTCTCTTCTTGTCTCAAACATCTCTCAACCATACACCCTCAATTCTAATGAGTAAGACCTTGTTCTTTTGAGCAGATGTGGTCTGCTATGCTCTGTTAAAATCTGCTCTATTCTGCCGAGCTATGCTCTACTAAGTATTAATATTGTGCTATGCTGACACTTGTTCTGTTCTGCTGACATCTACCCTATTCAAAAGCTCAAAAGAGTAGGCCTAACTAGTTTTTATCCAATTTTATTTTATTACTTCGTATTTTGATATCACATTCACTGCAAGAAAAAAATAAGAGCATCACACATTCTGACATTCACATTGAAAAGACTCAAAGAATACCAACTATATCTTGGAATTAATCTCATAAAATTTCATCAACTTTTGGCCTTCACCATCCCTAGATGTAAAAAGCTTATTGCTATGTCTTAGCCTTGGAAAAAATGAAAGATTCATCATCTTGGGAAAAGAGCATTGTCTCCCTATTAAGTCATGTCCAAATATTCCTATTATAAAAATGTAATCACCATGAATGTGCTAAATAATTCCTACTTAACATATGATTAATTAGTTTTTTTATCAACCAGTGGGCACAAAATTCTTGTGCACAGTAAAATTAGTAACAATAATCAAAGTTATATCTCAAGATTCAAGGAAGAGCATAGAGGATTGAACTATATATCTTATTCTCATTGTAAGCACCAAAAGTTGAGTTTAATTAAATTGCTTAATTAGCCTAATATATCTACAAACTACAATTATATGAATAAATAATATTGGCATTGAATCTTGTGAATAAAGGGAATGTCTTTTTTTCTCTTTCCTCTACCATATGATTTCATATGACTGTTATGAGGAGATTCTCTAGATATTTAAGCACTTTAGGCAAATTTTTAAAGGTAGAAAAAAGGGTGTCACTAGATTTTTCTTTAACCCTCTTCTTTTTGTCATGTTTAGAATTCAAAGATTCTAATCAAATACCAATTCCCTTCCTTGCACCATATGTTTTTCTTTTCTACAATCTTCTAAAAAATTCATAAATAATTTTCTTGCGTATTAATCTAATTTATAAATAGTTGATATTTTGAAAATATGCAATTTAATGAATCTATGAGAGTATCAACATCTTATATGATATTACTTCTTATAAATCAATAAGAATTCGATCATGGTCAAACTTGATAAACTTTAACTCAATAATAGGAAATATAGTAAACAATTAGAGACGAAGAAAGTACAACACTTGTATAAAAAGCTGGATTTTAAAGCTAAGAATATGATACTTTTGTATGTTCATTTTAATATCCTTACGCCCACTTCATCGGTCCATCCTCTTTCAAGAGCATACATATATATATATATATATATATATATATATATTTTGAATAGTATTCAAGAGCATACATAAGGTATCATGAACGATAAAAGTTGTGTAAGTGGATTCCTAGCACTTCTGGTTTTGATCTTTAATTCAAAGATAAGAATTTCAAAGATAAGTATCTCACAGATATTTCAATTGAAAGAGGCATTTCCCATTATAGCAGGATACTATGCCTGCAATTGGATTTCATGTCCTACATAAATTGGGCATGGCGCCGTAAATATTCTGTGTAATCACGCTTTACATCTACATCAATTTGGAAAAATATTCTTTATAACTATGTAAGTTTTTTTCAGGTGATGTTCTGTCGAGCATATGAATAAACTTACATGAGAGTGAAAGCGTTATCCCACATTAGATAAATTTGATAAAGGAAATATGTATCTCATATTGAAGTGAATAGAGAGTTGTGTTCAATATATAAGGCTAAAGGACTACTTCCGTCATTATCATATAGTTTGATTTGGAATCTCTTTGCATAAAGTAAAGAGAATGTATATGTGACAACCATTTTAACTCAGACAAAGTAAAACTTTTCTAAACACCAGTTTCCCTTTGATCGGAAACTCGAATTTAATTCGAACACAAAGTACTTAACTCATTTGCACCCTTACATGACCCCACCACTATTTTTGTATACTGTACTGTTACTTCTAATGAAATTCCTATGTTTATTTATATGGATAGGAATTATAATGAGGGTGCTCTCGCTTATCACACCTTGATAAACAAAATTCGTTTATCAAGTAGTAAAATCGTAAATAAATCAACAAATATCCGGTTAGTATGATATTATTTATAATTATATTAACAATAATAAGCCCATATTTAATAAAAAAAATTATTGATTTATTTACGGTAAATTGTTTTTCAAGGTGATAAACTTGTATTTTGCGATTAAACCCCCCGCTTATCCCTCAATTTATGTATCTAGGGGGTTGGTATAAGAAAGAGAAATATGAATTAAAATTGAAAAGACATATATACCCTCAGTGAAAAGAAAAATTAAAGGAAAAGAATAAAGTTAATAAGGATATGTTTGTAACTCCCTATCTAATTGATGATTGAAAAAATGTAGAGAAATAATATTATACTGATTAACCTAAAGCTAATCAAGAACAAAGGTATTTGGAACAAAATATAAACGGATAAGCAATTAAGGAACAAATAAAGTATAAGCCACTACGCATTTGATTTGAGAATAGGCCCAATAGGGATAAGATGGATAAGAGTGGAAAATTTTTAGGGTGAAATTATAAGGATAAGGATAAATAACTGTTATCCCATGTTTGGTAAGAATCAAAAATAAGTTTTGAATTCTTTCAATAAAAATAAGTTTTGAATAAGTGAAAAAATTACAAAATTACCCTTATGATCTCTAATAAATAAAAATAAGTTTTGAATTCTTTCAAAAAAATAAGTTTTGAATAAGTAAAAAAATTACAAAATTACCCTTATGATCTCTTATTCTTTCAATGTTATTAAGGATAAGTTGGTCTTTTCAAACCCAATTTCTATCCTTTTTCTATATACCACTTCCCTTAAGTATAGAAATAGAGGGAATGGTGTGTGTGTGTTTTAACCCAATTCCTACCTTTTTATCCCTCTAAACAAACACCCCCTAACAAAACTATCCTCTACTTTTAAAGATTGTCTCCTTTTAAAATACTAAATATTTATACAGTAATGTTTAGTACATAAAATTGGAAATACTTATTGTATAAGACGTGTTTCAAGTAACGTATAAAGTCAAGTGAAGCAAATAGAATGAGACGAAGACAGTATAAACAATATGGAGTAAGTTTAACGGCAAAACAAAACGCCGAAAGTGTGCAATACGCAAGTAAATAGAGTTGCATATAGGCTTGTTGGTGGAATAGGAAGTGGGCCAATTTAGTTACAAAGTACACCCATTCACTTTAGGTATTGTTTATACTGTCTTGGCCACATGTATTCTCTTTTAAGCTTTGTTTTTTTGCTTGTTTTGTGTAATTTCGCAATCATTCTTTACTTTTGATCATTTTCCATACATTATATACTTGGGTCACTTGATTATTGACTTGCATCTTTCATTTTATGAAACTTATAAAATCCCAATTATTACAAGCTCTGAAAGCAAAGATCATGTATGAGAAAAGTCAAAAGTTATGGTTTGGTTTCTTTTTATCCAAAATCAATTTTCTCTCACTAAAACACCCCTACCCATAATATTATTGGGCTTGCCCTTTAGTATTTAACTATTTATTTATCAATTATTGTTCATAATGGGCTCAATATTTTGCATATACTTCATTCATTTTTTTTTGACACCATTTAACTTTTACACTATTTACAAACTATACATTAATTAACTTTTGTGATCTATAACTACTATAAAACATAGTCATGTGAGATCTTGTTCGAATCGTCTAAATGTATATTTATTAATATTCACTTTTTATGATTTTACAATATTTATAATTAGAGATATTAATCGTTAAAATTGTGCATTGGCAAGCATGATAATATAATGGTGTAAAAAAAAACGGAGGTAGTATTTGTTAATGAATTGCGCTATTCATATATTAACATTGACCGTACATTTTTGTATGAATATATATCCGTAAAAGAAGATTGGATTATTGTCAATGCATATTTTCAAATACCAACTTTTAACATGTTTCAGAGAAAAAAAAAACAAAAAAAAAAAACTTTTAACAAATCACATTATAAGATAGTAAAAAATATTAGTAGTGAAATTTGCACTTTAGCAAACGAAATAATAAAATTATTTCACTATTTTATGATATCCTAAAATTTTCTGGTAGTGTACTTGGATGTGGTCAAATATTTGAAAGCATTTACTAATGTGAGAATTCTACACCTAATAATTCTCTAGAATTGGGTGGGTGTAGTTGGTAGCAGTAAATGTGAGCTCACATTATTAGCTTTCTCATTGAAGACAGCCAAATTCGAGGAGTTACAAGGGCAACAAAGGTGCAAAATACTCGTTAATTTTTTAAAGATTATAATCGCTAGCAAGTCGCATGTATTGTAATGCTAAATGGTTTATGATTAGACTTCCTAATCATCTTAGCATGCCACCACTTAAGTGAAAACTAGTTCGGGACAAAGGGATGGAACATACAAGGAAGTCAGCAAAATGGATCTGTAACTTTGGGACAGAGGGAGTACTCGTATATATTAGCATTTGGCAGCCATTATGAGAACCAGTGCCAATTGATGGAACAAGAGCAGTATCACACTATCACTAACATACATGGCATCGAAAAAAGAGAAACAATTATGGAAAACCATTTCGATTACTTTGCGTATGAGTTGAACATTGCCTTTGAGTTACAGATTTGTAGCCTACAAAGCAATCTGACAAACCTAATATCATGATACATACCATTTAATGACAAGAGCAGAGGAAAATTTTCTAACCTTCTCACTATTGTTTATGATACATGCCCTCCCTGCTCCTGTGTATCAACATCTCCTGTAAGCATTGGAGGATATCGTAAAACAAATTCTGGCACAAAAGGGTTCATCTGTACTCATTTTCCTGCAAAATTGCAGCAGAAAACAAATAACCGCTGGCTGACATTAAATACAGCCAGGTCACCCACGAAGAACTATGAAACTACAATCATAAACAAATAGTTTATCTGGCTCTCAAGCAGCTGGTGCATGTTCACGTATAGTGTCTGCCAGCTTATTTCGTTCCACTTCATTCTTTACTCTTATTAGAAAGGTACGGGGGGTTACTTTACATTCCCCTTCACTATCCTCCTACACAAATGGATTGAGAATAGTAAAATTAGCCACAAAAATGTAATATGTTATGGTGCATCTCATCTCATAGTAAGACTGCCTAGAGAAATTTTTGGGTGAAAGTATGTCACTTCTATTTTCAAAAAGAAAAACGCTAGCCAACAGAAGTCAAGGATGAGTTAAAGTGAAAGGAGCAAATGGTAAGAAAGCACAAGGCTCTATGGCGATGAACAAAGTGTTTGTGTCCACCTATTTCTTGAAACTTTATGTTGGAAACAGATAGTAAGAGGACAAGATGGGAGAGCATAGCAGAATGCAAAAAGACATTCCACCATGCATACAATAGCAATTTTCCAGGGACTGGGGTTACTATAACAAAGAGCAAAGAGAAGATGAAACATTAGTGGCACTTGCAAGGTGTCGCTACATTTAGTATAAGTAATATTTAAGCAGCAGCGACAAGTAGTAACAACACAACAGGGGTACAAGGAAACAAATATACACAAGGTAAATTCAATACAAGGCATTGTAGTGTATTACCGAAGTATGGAATATGGTCACAATGGCATTTTTCTGCATACTTGTCTTTATGCCTGGGTATATTGAAGCATTAAGCATAATTCTTCCGACCTACAAAACCAACAGATAAACAGACACACAATAGCAGCAGTCAGAAATTATAAAATGCTGATATGCAGATGGGAAGTCCAATGGGAAACTATAAATGAATAATCATTCAAACATACTACGATATGGTTGTCAACAAGAAGCATAATATCAGAAACATACATCATTACGAACAAGAACTATTGGCTTGGATTCCTTGGTACCCTTGCTAGCACCCTCCACACATTTGATGGAGAGCTGGCCAGTACCTTTATCCTTCCATGGCTCTTTATCAGCTGGATCAGTTGACTGGAAAGCAATAAAAAAACACCATTTTAATATCAATATAAATAGGTGTGATAGTCTCTTTACATAAACAAATAAATAAATAATACTGTACTATGTTTCAACTGAAATCTTCATTTAATCATATGCCACAACCTATCACATGACCAAAAAAGTGCCTACCAAAATCTTGGATCCAGGAAATTCGTATCACAAAACACTTCAGATTACAAATGACAGTCAGCATACAGAAAAGAGTATTAACCAAGATTCTGCAAACTATGTGACAAACTCAATAACAGGCGCAAAATGTATGCATACCATTGTATATTATGAAACAGTTTAGAACTGTGTGACACTACAGCCTACTTTCCAAACCTTGTAGAATACTCATCAATAATAAGTACTTCATATTTGTCGTTTTAAAAGCCAGGATATATGCTGTCTATGCAGTACTCACACAACGGAAATTAAAGAAGGGCAATATATAAAATTCAGACAGTACCTTTACATAGAGTTTGCATTTGGTTTCATGCACCACAGTGATACCCTTCTCTTCAGCCTTTTTCACAGATGGGCTGCTAGGCTGCTCAGGTTCATTATCTGCAGATTCATATAATTTGAGCAATAGTTGGAAAGATACGCATGCACAGCTAATTTAATAAGAAAAGGCTCTCAACATATATAAATAAATAAGAAAAGGTTCTCAACATAAATAAATCAAATAAACCATGAATCCAATTATGATCCAGTCTTTAGCAGTGTCTAGGAATGTTAGAATCTAGGTGTATGCAGCAGGTATATGTGTGTCTAATAAAGAAGAATTGACAATTAAAGTAACAGAAAAATTCCAGGTATAGCACATTCCAGAAGAGGAGATGTAAGAGAAAACATTGCAGACATCAAATTTGGGATATTTTACAGGGAAATGCAGGAACCCAGAGCACCAACTTATCATTTATGGAACATTATGGCACTAAGTGAAGCGAAAGAGCATGTCAGAAAAACATATGTATAGGTATTCTAGGTCGCCAGAGCTTCAGACTATACATGAATTTCTAGTAAGGAAATGTTTAAATTGGAAATGCCCGACAAACACCACTGATGTTTCAAAAGAACAAGGCATAGCTCGGTTCCAGGGACACGTTATGTGTAAAAAACTGCCTCGAGACAAATTCTAAATTCATGTTGTCTCATCTTAGAGACTAAAATAATCAATTGTAATCTACACATCATTATCAAGAACTCAGTTTATTGAGAGCAATTAAGCAGAACCTTTTCTGTTTGTTATATTGTAGTTATGATTCTTATGATGGGTGTTTAATATGAGGTGAGAAACGGTTGCAAAGAAAGAACACATCCTCCTTGATAGAGAATAAATGATTGGCGAAAAGTAGCTAAACAGAAGTACACCAATTCTTGACCAAACTCAAAAGGACATACACCCAAAGTCCCAAAGAGAAGGCTAGAAAGCATAGACAGAAAAATAATTAGGTTTTCCCAACAAAATAATTATAATAAGCTTTCCAGTTATGACTTAAAAGTTAAAAACATGACTAATTCCCTGTATCCCTCCTAAAATCCAGCACACAAAAAGATACGTGTGGAGGAGGAAATTAGACAGAAAACTGGATTTGTATCATACCTTCATGAGCATCCTCCTTAGCAGTGTCATTTGAAGCTGCCGGTTTCAGATTACCTGAGTACAAAATAAAGAGTATTAATTAATTATCAATTAAAAAGCATTAGTTTAAACAATTAATGAGCCGCCACGCCCATATCTAAGTAAAATAACCCAGAACTCTCTGGGAGGAAATGGCTATTCATCTTCAAATAGATGTCCCATTTCCCGTATGTCATGAAAAATACCTACCAAAGAAAGATGTTTGACTGTTGGAGGAGTTTCCAGCATTCCAAGCACCAAATGGTGGTGTTTGACTGTTGGAGAATATTCCAGAACTTGTGGATCCCATAAAGCTTGTGGTAGTCGTCGATGAGGGTGCTTGATTGTTTGATGATACACCAAAATTAGGCGAAGTAGAAAAGCTAACAGTTTTTACTGGTGATACGGATTTGTTATCAGTGGATACTCCAGAGCTCCATGAAGTTGTTGGAGCAGTACTCACACTTTGCGAAAGAGCTTGAGAACTGGCAGACAATCCTAAATTCCATGAAGGGGATGAGCTTGAAGTTGTGTTAAGAACTGAGGCTTGGGTGCTGGAAACTCCAGAGTTTGACGAAGATATGAGTCCCGCATTGGCATTAGACATACCGAAGTTAAATAACTTTGGGCCAAAATTTAGTTCCTTGTTGTTTGCATGTGGTGTATTTTTCTTCTCATTGCTGTGGGTTCCCAATATAGGCACACTACTACCTTCACTACCAGTATTTGATTTTAGCCAGTTAACAACATCAGCAAATTTCTCCTGTTAAACAAGAGGCATATTGATCATTGGAAAAAGTTGGCCATAAAAATAATTATCTAAAACTTAATTGAACACAGAAGAACAATTAACAGTGAAAAACTGCAAAAGCAAGAACAAACACTAAGGTCAAAAGGCCTGAATAGGAGAACATGTATGTTCATATATTCAAAACCCTATTGTTAATTAAAAAAAAAATTTAAAAAAAAAGAATAATACTACTTGCACAATAAATGCATTATGAACCATAAGCTTAAGTGTAATTCTGTAATATGCAGATTTGATTGGTGGTCAGCCATGGCTCGGATATGAACAAAGCTTTTTCTCTGTCTCTTCTATTTGAACTTCTCTGTTTTCCTACATCAATTTCTTTTCTGTGACTCTGCTATTTAACTTTTCCACAATTTAACACTAACAGAGGGTAGATAGAAAGGAAGAAGTAATTGGGTAGCCAAATAGAGCCCAAAAAATAAAACAAATCCAGCTAAAACCAACCTGCCAGGAAAAAAAAATAATGAGGTACATGAACACAAATTTACTAGAAACCAATATCACCAAGTACCAAAATCTGGCTGAAGAACATTTAAATCATCATTAAAATATTAAATGATAAAAGGACTTAAAATATAAAGATAATTTCTCATCAGGCAAGGAGAACTACAAGTCTATATAACTCAGTTATAATTCAGTACACCACGAGTAGCATGAAACTGATAGTGAATTTAAAACTTGGAAAGGAGCATATCATACCAGTATGTCCGAACCCTGAGTTAGGTAGTCCCTGACGCCATCTTCCCAAAGTTCATCTGGGTGATCCCGCAACTGAGATTGCACCCAACTGTCGACATCATTAAACAATATAAAACTCAAGGTATCTAATATATAGGTTTGCAAATAATGAAGAGGTAAATACATATATCTAATCACAAAGACAGTTCAAAAGGGGATCACTCAAAGTAGGAAAATCAAAATAAGATATATGCATCACACTTCAGAGCCAAAAGAACACCAGTTTATTGCTGAGTGCAGACAGTCTTTTGTAGATCACAAACATCACAAAACAAGCGAGGTGATCCAACAATAGATACATTTAATAAACAAGAACTCCACTAGAAAGAAGATTTAGACAGTCTTTTGTAGATCACAAACATCACAAAACAAGCGAGGTGATCCAACAATAGATACATAGAATAAACAAGAACTCCACTAGAAAGAAGATTCAGACAGTCTTTTTTAGATCACAAACGTCACAAAACAAGCAAGGTGATCCAACAATAGATACATAGAATAAACAAGAACTCCACTAGAAAGAAGATGGACCTTGCGAATTCAGTATTTAAAGCCCTCACATGTTGTCGAGCAACCTTACGCCGATCCAATGGTGGTGTTGCAGCTGTTTCCACTCCAGATGATGGTGATGCTATGGTCTTTTTACTTTGAAACTGCATGAAGAGAAGAAAGTAAGTGCAATAGACATTTCATTATCCTACCCTTCACCTTAATGATGTAACAGCTGATACAGAAAGGATTGACTAATAGCCATAAAATCTTCCTAAAACAGCTCAAAATTATGTTCATGTTATAAACTGGGAAAATTGTGCAGAAATTTAGAGAATGGAGGTGAAATTATGCACTAAACGCTGGAATACAAGATAATACAAGTTTTCTAGAGGCTTGTTCTCACCCAAAGTGTAAAATAAACTTATAGAAAATTCTCAATAGTATTCTTCATGATTTCTCCCTTACTGGTCTTCTCTTTATCGGCATTTATAGTCTAACTATTGACTAGCTTCTTATCTAAATTATTCTAACCACTAAATATGCATTGCCTACACTACCACTCCCCCTTAGGCCAGTTCATTACAATTGATTAGAATTTTTCATCTTGTTTACCTAGAAGTTACGAGTACATCATAAACATTCATCGGGATACACCTATAAAATAAAACCAGAGACTAACTTATAATCAAAGTCTAATAAGGGCATCAAACATTGAAAATTGGACAAAAGATAACCGAATTATTACTTTATTAGACAAAGAAAAACATTATGTAGTTACATATTTCCAATTTTCCATTCAACTTGATTCCTCTAACAGAAGGAGATCAATACAAATCCACCACCCCAAAAGCAAGCATCTCCAATTAAAAATATGCTCTTGGTAAGATATTAAAAAGGCAACAAGCTCAAAGTGTATCCATTGTCAATTTGCCACATAGATGAGATCCACCACACAAAACTAAAGGAAAAGCCCCAAAGTTGCCAAATCTGAGATCAATGAGTTCATACAAACATTCAACTAATGCCAATTCATCGCCACTGTATATGTTCTGTATATGTTCTCATTAACACTCAAAGAAAGACTTTATAACAAATAAGTTGTCTAAGACAATATTAAACTAATCAAGTGCTTATTGATCAAATAGGATATTTCTTCATACCATCTGACCCCCCCCCCAACCAAACTCTTGAATACAAACCCAACTCATAGTGTACCTATCTCAGAAACAAAACGTGATACAACACTCTTTACGAACATTCTGAGCTTGCTCAAGAATAACAGGATTACTAAAAGAACAGCACCCAAGGTACCATAGATAGAGAAAAAAAATGGCAACCGGCTTCTAATGAGTGGACTCGAGATAAGTTACAGGTCAATCAACAACGAGTATATCGAATCAATCTATCATCCAAAATCAGTCACACTTGCAGGATCGATAAAACATATTACAATCGAGATGTCTTTGGACATTCCAGTCATAATTATGAACAGTCTTTCGAAACAGATCTAGAAAATCCACTTATTCTACTGCTTGAGGAAACTGTTGCCAACATACTGAAAGGTTCAAAGTACCACCTAATTTTTTCAATTTTTTAGCTCAAACTCCAAATTTGCACCAATATTTGTGGCAGGTCACATATTCAGCTAACTTAACACACTCACTTAACATCTAAACACAAACTCTACCTAACCCAATATAATTAAACAACATAGATTTATGTTTAAGTTACAATTACAAACTTCTAACCAATAAAAAAGCATTGATTCTAAAATTAAAATACACTATAATTACAATATAAATCCCTATATCATCAAATACCCAGAGAAATTAAGAAAAACCAAACATGGGTATTCAATCAAATAGTATTATAAGCTAAAATCAAATTACACTATCATTAAAAAATTAAAACTTTTGAACTCACAGGGTTTTCATCAGCATTGGAGCTCAATGAAACGTTTCGACGCTTTGTACCAATCATTTGATTCGACACTCAGAAACGCCAATATAGTTGAAAGAGAAGAGAAAAAATTGACGAATTTAAATTTTGCAGAAAAAAGAGGAGAGAGAAAGAAGTAGCAGGAAATAATTAGGGTTTTTGTTTGGTTCAAATAATTTGGGGGTTGTAATTTTATTTTATTTATTTATTTTTTTTCTGCTGATGAAGGTGAGAATTAATTTAATGATAAAAAAATATTTGGGGATTTACGGTGAGATGAAATTATAGCCGTTGATGATATGATTGGTTTTATTTTTAATTTGAACCGTAGATTATAGTTCCGTTAGTGAAAAAAAAAAGAATATGCCAAACAAAACATGATCGATGAAGCAGGCGCTCGTGTGTTAAGTGATTCGGTGGTCTTTTTTGGTTCACTTTCTAATGGACCGTTGACATGGCTTATTGGGCCATTCTAAGACTACTCACAGCAGTGGGCAAAAAACAACCTGCTCACTCTCTCTCTTCCCACCCTCTCTCTCACCAAATATCATTTTGTCCATGAGCAAAGTTTTTTCACAATAACTATCACACCAACGAGCAAAAAAATACTTGCCCACCAATCTCTCTTATACTTTTTCAATATCCCACTATTATTTTCTCTCTCCTAGACACCAATAACTAATTTATTATTTTGTTTTTAAATTTAACCATACTACTCCAATTTTTTTTTTTTTTTATTTTTTTATTTTGCTGGGACAAGTGTCAGCAAATTATTGCTGCTTTTTTTATTTTTTTTCAGATTTTGCTTAGACATGTGGCGGATTTTGATTGGTTCTTCTGGATGGGTCCCACGTGCACTATTCATCAGCAAATTTGCCCATCTCTTGAGCAAATTGAGAGTTGCTCACAGGCAATTTTTTTTTTGCTCACTGCTTTCAATACGAATTTATGTATTTTGCTCAACATTTAGCCCGTGGGCAAAATTTTTGCTCACTGCTGTAAGTGCTCTAATAGTGGCTAGTATACACTTTCATAATAACTTATGCTCCGAGTCATGACTCTTAGGGGGTATTTGGTATATGAGAATTGAGGGTGAGAATGGGAATTTTAATCCCAATTTTAAAAAATTCTCTTGTTTATTGGATGGGATTGAGAATAAAGAATGGAATGATATTAGGACTAAATGGGTGAATTCTCACCATTTTATTATGGATGGGAATGGAAATAAGTGAAAAATGACATTTTTGCAATTAATGAAATGAATGGAGGAGAAAGGTTAGTAAGGGTAGTTTTGTATTTTTGTTATCTATTTTGTATCTATTCCCATCCACCACACAAAAAAAGTGTTACCATATTTCTACATATTCCCAACAATCTGTTTCCATTCCTATTCCCACATTTTAATCCCCAAACTCTCATTCCCATATTTCAAACGCCCCGCTATAGTATTACACTCATTGACATAAAATATGACTGAACTACATTTATTAATATGAACTATTTCGTATTTATGTACTCCCTCCGTTTTTTTTATAAGGTGGAGTTACTATTTTCGTCCTTTTTTTTTATAAGCTAGAGTTTTATTTTTGAAAATCTCTTACAATTTAATAATATATCTTTACCCACTAATTTTTCCACCTTTCTTACTTTATTATTTTTCACCCTTCCAATGGTTCCCACTCCCTCTCACACCACTTTATTTTTCAATAAAATAATAACCTTATCTACCCCACTAACATCTTATTTTATTAAACCACCTGCCCGTATAATCTCATCTCTAGCCTTAAAAAAAAAACGGAGGAAGTAATTAAATTGATATGAATTTGGTCACTAAATACACTCAATGACATAACTGATTCCTAGAGACATTTGGTGACATGAACTTGGTAGTTAAAGATTTTGGGTGACTTTATTAACTTTTTAGTTGTAATGCTAAGTTTTTTGTCACCGAGTGTGTCTATAATGAGATTAATGACTAAGCTCGTGTTAGTTTGGTTATATAGGCAAGTCCATGTTAATGACCATATTTCCTGTCAATGAGTGTAGTATTGCACTTCCTCCCTTTTTTTAATTACAAAATTTGTAATTTGAAATTATTCATACACGCTCTTTTAATTGTCTGTTATGATTTATAAGTTGGAAAAAAAATATAGTCAGCTGAATTCTTGTTAGGTTCGTCTTAAAATATACTTTCAAAATATTAGTTTTTAATAATTTCAACCAAAAACTTAAACTGATGGTTGAAGTTCAGGATCGGTTTATATACTCTATCACGCCCCTTCACAGGAGTACCCTTTGGGCTTGAAGTGTAGATGCAACATAGGCCCTCCTCTTATCCAACGCTTAATATTCTGCTTTGAAAGGAGGGGTGGATGAGATTCGAATCTGTGAACTCTGTGTCAGGTTGAATCTGATATCATGTTAGAGGACCAACTCAACCAAAAACTAGTTATAACCTACAAAAATATACTTACTCCCTCCTTACAAAAATATACTTATTCCTTTATGAGCTAATGCAAATATTACTAAATACGTGATTACTTTTTTTGGTGTTAAGAGAGCCACAATGGGCAGGTGATGAGAATTGATCCCAAGATACATGATTATAAAAGCTTTTTCGGGGTTTTTTGATGTCCTGCGGGAGAGTTACAATTCTGAGACTGGTATCCTTGCGCCTGTACCTGCAAAACAACGGAAACTCCGGGTGGTAGGAGCTCCGCCTCCGACGATCAAGTTAGTACTTGTATGTGGAGTAAAAAGGTGCGGAAAGTAAAGAATGATCTGGTTCCTCTAGGGGAGGAGTGATCAGGAAGTGCAATTAATTGCTAAGTCAGGTCAAGCAATCAGAAAGCACGTGTGTTTTGGCTTCTCTAGGTGAGATGATTAATTAACTCTGTATCTTCTTTAATGAAGGCTAATTACTGTATTTATAGCCTCGAAGTACGTGCCCAATACTAGGTTTAGGTCAACCTAGGGCTGATTGGGCTTGTCCTGGAAACCGGGCCTTGGTGGCCGTTCTCCTGGTGGGCTGATAGCAGGCCACGTGGCGTAACGCGATTGGTCCATGCTGGACTGATTGCTGCTTGACACGTGTCAGGTCCTTGTTGGTCCATGTGGTGGACACATGGCAGGACCTGATTGGTCCACGTGGCAGACAGTGATTGGGCGGGGAAAATCCCCTAAATCATTATAAGTACTTACCCATGTATATTAATAATACTTGTGTGATCTTGTTAATATATTTGTAGCTCCTAAATGACATTTTTTTTTATAAACCTAAATGACATTTAAAAAACAGTGAAAAATCAAATGTGATAATCCTTCGGTTAGAAAGGGAGTATTTTTTGTGTTTAAAAAAAAAATAAAGAAAAAGAAAGGGAGTATTTAACAACATTAATTTGACGGAAATTGATGCCTATTATTTTTTATTTTATTTTTTTTGACAGAATTGAATGCCTACTATAAATGAATGACATTGAGTCATTATTGAAGAGATGGAAGAGTAGTTAGATGTGTTTTTGAATAATGATTTCAGTAATGGGTGTTCTTGTTAATGTGTTTTTTGCAATTATTCTCTTATTTTTGTATGATTAGAACATTAGATTGTAGAAATTGAATTGAATACAATTCACCTACTTCTTCTGTATGTTCTTCAAATTTCCAAGGAAAAAATGCAATGTAATAATATTGATGAAATACAAATACTCAAACACATGTATGTGTTTGTCTATAATGAATGCTACCACAATCTTTAGACTTTACTAACTTTAATTTATGGAATTTAGCATGAACTATTAATACTTCTTCTATTTTATTTAGTCGCAATCGTTTGACTTTTGTACTATTTAAATACTCTAATTTCATTCTCTTGTATAGTTTTATACTTAATGAAAATAAAGTTACATTGTAGAGTATAAAACATATTCATGTATTCATGGACCTTAACTATCAGCTTAAGTTTTTAGTTGAGTTAATCTTATGACAAATTCATCTCAAATTATACTTTTCACAAAGTTTTGTAATACAACAATGAAATTTGTCATAAGATATAATTTAAACAATGAAAAACAAAGTGAAGTGTTTAAATTATATATCCTTCATCTTAATAGATTTGTTTTGATAAAACATAATCCACAAATGAGGAAAACGTATTCTAGATGAAATTTCGCTACCAGCCTTTGAAAAACATAGAATTAGAGAACAATGCATGTATAAATATTGCAAAAACTTTTTGTTAATTAAAATCCAAAAATTCTCCATCCTTTTTCTCGAGATAAAGAAAAAGGAATAACCAAAATACAGAGTACATGGGATGATATCAACTACTTATAGTTGGATCTATTTTATCTCCTCTTATCTTATTTAAAATTAATGTACCATAAGAAGTCCTCTATGCAAATATTCACATACAATAGTGTTAATATTAGTGTACTAGTTCTGCTCCCTTCGATCCTTTTTGTTCTTTCCATTTTGATTATTTTTGTCTCGCAATATATTTCAAATGGGAAGAACAAAAAGGATAGAAAGGAGCACTAATTAAATCTATATTCTGCTTCTGATTTCATCTTAAAGGACTCCTAGCTAGGAAGAACACATTTCAACCATAAGATCTTCCATCAAATGTGCCATAACCTCATCGCCGAGCTTTGTTGCAACTTCTTCCCTTTCTAATTGAGTGTCTCTTGGCCACGATCCTCCCTCTTCCATGTCCCTAATGTAAACTTGCCTCTTGTCCTTCACCTCCCACCCTAATATTAACTTTTCATATTGTCCGTCTATCCAACCCTCAGCTGCTTGCAACAAGGTATCTTTCGCCTTTTGTGCAACATTTTCACGAAAGAAGTCAAGTAACACATCTTCAAGATCACACTTGTGCATGTTTTTTGATTGTATCCTAGCATTCATAATGCTAAGTAAGTGTTGTGCTTGTTTTTCAACTTTGCTTACATGGCTTTCTTCTTCTTCTTCTTCTTCTTCTTCTTCTTCTTCTTCTTCTTCTTCTTCTTCTTCTTCTTCTTCTTCTTCTTCTTCTTCTTCTTCTTCTTCTTCTTCTTCTTCTTCTTCACTTTCACTAGATAGAATATAGCTAGGTGTTGAGCAAGGTATGATCGAATGCTTAGGTACTCGATCTACAATCTCAGAGGATGAGATTAGGCTTTCAAGATTAATGGGTTCTAGTCCTGCTAGACATTCAAATCTTCCAAGTTTTTGCATAAGCCTTTCTTGTGTCCCTGCCAATCGAGTATTCAAAAGCATTAGATTAAGTTTAAATTAATATGATTCGATTTTAGGACAATCTTCTTTCAAGAGTTCAGATTTAGACCCTTAGGACGATATATAGAAGACATTTAAATGTACCTTTTAGCCTTAAGACTCTAAGAGTGAAGGGTGAGGAACCTCCTTCATCGTTGTAAGGAAAATCCAAGACAGATATTGGGCTTGACTGTTCCTTCTCACTTTCTTCATTAAACCACATTTTCTCCTGTAATCATATTCAAAATCTAATTTTTATATCAATGTATGAAACATAGAGAACAAATCAAGTTGCTACTCTTAAGCTATTTCCATAAGAACAAATACAATGTAATCGTAACTTGAACAAAGTTTTTAGGCCCAACAACAAGCCCATCATACATACCGTCTCCCATTTTTTTTTTTTTTTTTTTTTTTTTAGATGGTGGCAAACTATGAAGGTATGTCATTGTAAGTCAGTCTAAAGTCTTATACACCGCTTACAAGAATATATATATATATCAACTTAAGCCATTGATATTCATTTGCTTTGTTTTACTTTGTCAACTTTGCTTGCAAACCTCATTCCTAATTAAGTATCCATATTTGTTTTAGTTAGATCCATCATACAAAGGTAGATGAAATGATGAGTCTCTCAACCTGTCATATTTGTTTTAGTATATGTCCACTTAAAAAATGCACATTTGAAACAAAAATATCTAAACAAGTTTTCTAATTATCTACAATAATTAAAAGTAATCTTCTAGTAAAAAAAATAAAAATAAATGTGTATTAAACGTTTAAATTAAGAGTTTAAGACTAAGGAGTATTTGTACCACCAAACATTACCTCCTACTCTCCTAGTATCAAACACCGACCAAATGTAAAAATGTAGCTAAATTATTGATAAATGCACTCACTACAACATAACTAATTATTTAATATGGAGTACATTTCATAATTACAATATAAATTGGTGGTCTGACTATTATAGTTAGAGTTAATTATAGCATAGCATGCCCAATTTCATAATATTATAATTTAATTAGAGCTGTGATCTAATAATATCTCGAGTTGTACGAAAATGCCATGGTCCAGCGAGTTATGATAGCCGTAGATCTCGCTGTGTGGCATAACGTGGCAAGAATGGACGGTGATGATTCCCTGGAAAAACTATGTGGCAAATTAATACTTACACCTCCAAATATTTTCCCAAGAATCAATGAAATACTCCCGCACGTGAGTGTCATGCCCTTTCCCCACTTCCCGCCGCCATATATTTTCAATGTTTAATCTTTATTTTTCTTTAAAACCAAAAAGTCATTAATTAATTTCTAATAAGTCAAACTCAAGCTAATTAACGGCATAGATTTACATCTTAGCATTAACGAAAGCTATTAACCATAGAGAAAATACTCCGTAAATATTACTCTATACTTTTTTTGTTTTTTTAATTTACACTTCTAGTAATACTATCATTTTCACGTTTCTTATTTTCTCATTATAGTCATAGTTTATCAAAATTAGTTAAAATGTGTAAATAAAATAATGTGAGAAATTAAAGTGTTGCAATGAACAAGAAAATGAAAAAAGGTACCCTACTAAAATATTTTGAAATTTGACAAATAACCAGTAAATGTTGCAGTTATTAGAAAACTCGAATCTGATATCCTAACTGCTGAAAATGCGTAAACTAATTAAGATTAGAGAAGCATTAAATATAAAACATATTCTAACCTTAGCAACCGCTGGCTTAACGGAATCATCACCAGCTATTACGCCAACTATTCGGCTGACCACCTCTTCCTCCATTTTCTCACTCCTCTCAACGGCGTCGTTTTCACTTGAGCAAGTCAAACTATCCGAATTAAAAGTAAGATCCGACCAACTACTCTCACTTTTACCGTCGCTAGTACTACCACTCGTCGTAGTAACCGTCGTATCATTCGACAAATCCGACGGCTTATACTTCTCCGTTCCAGCAACACCCGACGATATCCACCGTTCGATCTCATCATCATGATCACCTTCCTTCTTCTTCGAAACAACCACTACGTTACTACTTTTCTCTTTCTTCCAGAAGCTTCTCCGAAACAACTTCTTCGAGAAGCTTCGAGGAAGAAACCGTTTTCCGTCACCGGATTTCGCATTACTTTTCGCCGGAGAGTTAAACGGAAGCATCTTCACGGCGTTGATCACCGCCATTGATGCTCTATGAAGCGTCCCCGAAACGCTCCGGTTTCTCACCAGGATACGTTTCGGAGGTTTCGTATTATTATTACTATTAGTAATACGGTGGTTTCGAATCATTTCGTTCTCGATAATGCTGCGTACCGCAACGCAGCATTGTCGGCGAGGAAACGATCGGAACCCATTGGAGGAGCACGAGCTTAAGTCGTCCCCAAGGTAATCCTTCAGCATCCATGGCTTCCTAAATGAGGACGATTTTCTCGCTTGGCTTTCACCGCAGAACGATACCACGAGCGCCATTGTGATGGATAAGTTAGGTTACAGTCTTGAGAGAACACGAACCTAAATAGAGGATGAGAGTGGACTTGATAAGTGAAGTTGATTGTAGAGGTTAAGTAAAGGAAGGAGAGGAGAGAGAAATTGGAAAAAAAAAAGGAAGATTCGAGGAGGTAGGAAATGAAGATCTCAAGAAAGGCTAGCTAAAATTAACTGGAAAAATTAAGTGAATATTTTGTAGAAATCGAATCAAAAGCCAAGTAAGTGTGAGAGTGAGTGAGTATCAGTAGAAGTGATTAGAAGAAGGAAGGATGGTTCGTTAGTTAAAAATTTGAATCTTAAGCATCATTAATTAAATGATTTGATTTGGGAAATTTGAATTAGTAAATTAATTAATCTAAGAAGTTACGAATCTTTGGCTGTTAGACTTGAATGCGACCCAAAGTTGACCTTTTAAAATAGGGTTAAGTCTTAATTAATGAGGAGAGATAAAATACAAGTATTTTTAGTTGGTGTTGAGTGGTAGAGTCCACGTGTGACCAGATTTAGTGAGGCAGATTTTGAGGGTCCCACTTTTTGGGTTCTAATTTGTCTTTATAGTTGGTGTTGTGTCAAACTCAATGTGTGTTTAAGGTTGGATTTGGTGATAAAGAGAGTTGAGTGAAAATGGATGAACTTAACTAACTTTGGTGTTATGGTGATTGTAATCAACATTATATAAGGTGGGTTTATTTGTTTGGTTTGTGGTTGATGATGATGTTTGTTTAATGGTTTTGATGGTGGACAATGCAATGCAATTGTGTTGCTTTGCTTAGAATTGACATTTTTGCATTTTGTTTAATGCAATCATTGATCATGAGAAATGAACGAGTTTCATCTATATATATTCTGATCATTTATTTATTGATCATTAATAGAGAGATGAATGAGTTTCGTCTATATATATTCTAATCATTTATTTGAATATATATAGGGAAATTTAGTTGAAATAATGTAGTTGTAGGTTTGAAAGTAATTAAGTAATAAAGGATTAGTTGAAATTTTAATAATAAATCAATGAAAGTAGCTAAATGAATAACGGAGTAATTATATATGACTAATAAGCTAAAATGAGATATAACAGTCTACCTTACTGATTACATAAACAACATACAATCATTTAATGAATCAATTTCCCATATGTAGTTGTTTGAATCATTGATCTAATGTGATATTGATTAGACATTTTTATAAATGTATGTTGGAAGTTAAAAGTTAATGATTTGAACAATTAGAAAAATAATATATATATATTGAAAGGTATATATGTATGTAGTTGGCTCAATTATTGATAATTAAAGCTCATAAGCATATGATTACTTAGCTTATTGATCATCTATTGCAGAATCAACTGAAAGTAGTTCACACTAACATACAGTAGATTTATTATCTTAGTGATCTAATACATTGGTCGTCCCAATAAATTTTCTCAACATCCTTCATCCAAAAAATCACTTATGTATATTAAATTATAAGCAGAAAGTAATTTAAAAGACAATGTGTCGCCTAATAAAAGTTGAACTATTAATTAAAATTTATGTTAGACATACATGTCTTTAATGTCAAATTTTATAAATATTTCATCACAGTATGATTAGTAATTAATTATACATATATACTGCATGTTGTAAATATTTTATATGAGGAAAACCACACTACATTCTGTTGGCTTTTATGGAGCTAATTAATAACAACCAGCATAATATTGGTTGTCATTACTCATAATGATATTACGCTCCTATAGTCCTTTCATGTTAAGTACGAGTACCTGCTCAATACTAATGTTAACTTTTTTTAAGGCCATGTTTTTAATTGTCTTTAAATCCACTTAGTTCAAAGTTAAAAAGTTCAAAATTTTCAAATAATATATCTCTGCAAAAATTAATTATAACAAATTCAAAAAGGTCAAATAGGTTGAGTTAATCAGTTCATTTTAATAAAGTAAAAATCAATTGAATTAAACACACTCTATTACAAAATTCTGCTAAAACTATCTACTATGACAAGTGTATAATGTATATATACAAAAGGCATAAACATGCATAGATTAATTGTATTGTATTGTAATAAATAATTACACTTATATGGTCCTACCAGTGGCGAATCCAGGATTTCTAACTAGGGGTATCATTAAGCCATTGAAAAATAATAGAAAAAAGGGTAGAAACAAGTTATTATATATATTATCGTTAATTATCCTTTATAATTTTAAAAATTTATTTCCGTAGATAAATTTTCATTGTACAAATATATGAAATAATTTATATTTTAGTTATCAATACAATACAATGATTAAATTAAAAAGTACTCCATATGTTCAATAATTACTTATCTATGTACTCCGTATTTATCATTCATAAGTTTATAAACTACTTCGTATTTGGTAATTTATACTAGTATACATTATAAATATATATATATATATATATATATATATATAAAACTGTGAAATTTTCTTATTTTATATAAATTTTCTTAATTGCGTTACTCATATTCTACCTCCGTTAATGGTTATGTGCAACTTTGGAGAGAGGAACGAACTCCATTGCAAAATTTCTTAATGATACTTAACAAAAAGTAAGGGTATGTCATTAATAATTAATCAATCCAAATCTTAAAATAAATAAATAAATAAATAAATAAAATGAAAGAACCATCCAGCGTCCCATCCACCGAAACCCACTAAAACCCAAATCCAGGACCACCCACCAAAACCCATCGACGGAACCACGAAAACCAACCCACCGAAAACGACAACCCACGAAAACCAACCCACCAGAAACTAAACTCCCAACTCGAACCCAGAACCATGACCCACCCCAATTCAAACCCAAAACCACCTAAGAAACCGCCACACCTACCGAATACCCATCCAACCCACTAACAACAGCCTACACTGTGTTCTTCTTCGTCGTCTTCTTCGTTGTCGTACCAGATCTGGAATGAGGTTGGAGGAGGAGAGAGAAAGGTAATGGGGAAGATGAAGAAGGTGAAAAATTAGGGTATAATGTGGAGAAATTGGATGATTTTAAACTAGTTGGGTTGATTTCAATGAGTTATTGGGGGAGATGAATTAAATTTGATCGGAGTAGTTAGATTAATTAGGTTAGTTTAGTAATTAATTAATTATGTTTTTAAGAATGTAATTGATGTTATAAAAATTTTAAGTAAGGGTATTTTTGTAATTTTGTTAATTTTTTTTTTACTAAACATGGAAAGATTTGGAAATGTTGCACATAATTTTTAGCGTCCATTTTTGGTAAAAGTTGCAGATAACCATTAAAGAAGGTAGTATATAAAACTAAATAGTAAATAAGTTACTTACCAAATATGTGCATTGAAATAAAAGTGCAATAAAATGGGAAGAATTTCATGAAATAAAGGAGTCTGTAAGATTAATAAGCTACTCATTTAAAAAAAAATTCCTTATGTTTGGTATCATGTACGGTGATTAAAAAATAATTAAAGTATGTATGAGTATAGATTTAATTTATTTTATAATTTAAAAAATCGTAAATTCTAGTACTTGATTTTTCATAAATTAAATGAGAGACTTAAAAAAAAAAAAAAAAATTAAATGAATATGTAATTAATTATGCACACATATAAAGTAGATACAAAAGTCTAAAAAAAAAAAAGAACCTAAGAGACCGGTTGTTACTTACAACAGATCCTCTTTAAGTTTAAACTTGAAAGCAGTGGAATTTTGGTATGGAGTGTGTTTAATTTGCTATGGCTGAATCAAAGAGACCTGCTATCACTAATACTAGGTCTCTTTGATCAACACTTTTTTTTTTCCCTATTCCCCCCCCCCCAAGGGTAGCATGTGCTACCCTTGTTACTTCTTAGGTCCGCCAGTGGTCCATACGGAGCATATAACAAAACATTGATTTACTCCCTTTGTCCTTAGTTAAGTATCACAGTACAATTAGGCTTTGGGTTCGAATGATCCTCTAGACCGGTTAATATAAACATATAATATACTATCTCCGAATCTTCTATTATGAAAGTTTAATTCACATACTATTTGATTATTAAAATCAAATAGTTTTGATAGTGTTTTATGATTTATATAATTAATAGATTATTAATATGTAAGATGTTGTTAATTAGATTTGTATTAATGTACATTTTTACAATTTAAACTTTTTATAATTTTTATTCATACATAAGTAGTTTTACTCCATAGTCAAATATATGTGCATTGGAGATTGCACAAAAACTAAGTGAGTTGTAATGAAAAAACTAGCAATTACTTTTTGTACGTATAAGATCGACTTTTGTGTATAAGTTAGTATGACCAATAATGAATCTTGAACCAAAAGGTAAAGAGAAGCTATTGCGTGAGGCTTGCCTCACCAACAGCTTCGTGAGGCAAGCCTCAAAAACAACAACCAAGTTTATAGATGATATCATTTAGGCAATGGATGATACCATAAACACAATAATAATTATATCATCCAGCCTATAAATGATATCATAGAACTGAAATATGATATCATACAACCAATGGATACATGATTTGTCATGTTTTATGTGTTGGCTGATATGTTTTTTTTGTGTTGGCTGATATGTTTCTATTGTTAGCTGATATGTTCATTTTGTTAGCTTATATGTTTTTTTAATGTCTAATATGTTCCTTTTGTTTGTTGCTATCAGACATCAGTTGGCTAATATCATTATTTTGTTAGCTGATTTGTTTTTTTTGTTGGCTTATATGTTTTATTTTGTTGGCTAATATGTTTATTTTGTTGGCTTATATGTTGCTTTTGTTTGCTGATTTCATCCTTTTGTTAGCTAATATGTTTCATTTGTTGGCTGATATGTTCCTTTTGTTGGTTGATATGTATCTTTTATTGGTTGATATGTTCCTTTTGTTGGCTGATATGCATCTTTTGTCGGCTGATATGTTCCTTTTGTTGGCTGATATGTTTTTATTAATGTCTTATATGTTCCTAATGTTGGCTAATATGTTCCTTTTGTTGGCTAATATTTGTATTTTGTTGGCTGATATACATGATATCACATCCAACTATAGAGGATATCATCTAACTTATAGATGATATCATCCAGGCCAGGCAATGAATGATATCATCTAGACAATGAAAAATATTATCCAAACAATTAATCATATCATCCAAACCACATGAATGATATCATCTAGACAATGAAAAAATATCATCCAAACCAAATGAATGATATCATCTAGCCAAGTAATCCTATCATCCAAACAATTAACCATATCATCTAGCCAATTGGACATATCATTTAACCAACTAAATAATCATATCATATAGTCTAAGACACTTAAAGATATCATCCATACTATGATTAATATCATATACACAAGAAAATAG